TCTTGGAGAGCTCTTCATATCTGTACATAAGTCAAACACATTCTTCTTAATGGCTGCATAATACTCCACAATATGGCAGCTTCATAATTTATTCAACTATTTCCCTATTGATAGATAGAAATTTAGGTTCTTTCCTTTTCTTTTTTGTTTTTCTTTCTTATTAGAGACAAGGCTACAATGGACTTTTTGGAATATTCATCTTTACACTTGGACACAAAGTTTTTTGTAGGACTGTTTCCTCAAATAGGAACCTGAGTCAAAGGGCTTGCACTTTAAATATTTGTAACTATGGCAAAATTGTCTTCCAGAAAGGCTTGACCATTGAACACTTCCTTGTTATCACTGAAAGTTGTCAATATTTGAGATTAAAACTTGGCAGTCAAGAACTTTCATCATGTTAATTTGTACCCACGTACAGTGAGGCCAAACGCATTTTCACATACACACTGGCAAACTGCTTATCTTCTATGAATCACCTGTTCATGTCTCTTGTCCATTTTTCTTTTACATTGTTCATAGATTTTTATGTGTATACATTGCATATACTGCAAATATTTTCCCTCAGTCTGTTGCTCTATTAAAACAAAACTTCTTTATTTTTGAGTGACATGTGTCGTGTTTTTTCTTTATAGATTCTGAAGCGTGGGTTTTGCTTAGAAGGGCTTTCCTTAACATTAGGTTAGGGAACTATTTTACATTTCCTTCCAATATTTTATTTCCCCCATGTTTTTTCTTTAATCCATCTGAATTTTATTTTTCAGAATCTGAGGCGAGTATAATTTCATTATTTTTCAACTTGGCCCAATTGGTTTAAAATTGCACTTTTATCATAAGTTAAATTCCTATATACACATGGGTCTGTTTCTAGAATCTCTATGCTGTTCCATTCATCTGTTTGTCTCTTCCTGTATTGATAACAATTTTTTAAAAGCACATATACCTCTATTGTTTAGATATAGACAATCTGACTAGGTGGTTGAGTCTTCTCATTGTTCTTGTTCAAAAATTATTGACTTGTGAAGTATATTTTTCTTCAAAATGAACTTTAAAGTTGCAAACTTGTCAAAACTTTAGGTTGTAAAACTCTATAAAAAATACATTCAGGGCTTCCCTGGTGGCGCAGTGGTTGAGAGTCCACCTGCCGATGCAGGGGACACGGGTTCGTGCCCCGGTCCGGGAGGATCCCACATGCCGCAGAGCGACTGGGCCCGTGAGCCATGGCCGCCGAGCCTGTGCGTCCGGAGCCTGTGCTCCGCAACAGGAGAGGCCATAACAGTGAGAGGCCCGCGTACCGCAAAAAAAAAAAAAAAAAAAATTCAAAATTTTACTTGAGATTTCATTGAATTTACAGATTAGAGAGATTTATATATTTTTCCACTTCATTGAGGTATGATAAATAAAAATTGTATATAAGGTATACAACATGATGTTTTGACATAATATATATTGTGAAATGATTACCACATCAAATTAATTAAGGTGTCTTTCAACATTGCATTTTTAATCTAGAAATATAGTGTGCATTTCCATCTATGTCAGTCTCTCATGTCCTATAAAGTTTTAATATCTAATTCTATAGGTCTTACACATTTGTGTTAGGTTTATTACCAGGCATTTTCGACTTTGTTGCTCTTCTGAATAAGATACTCATTCATTACATTTTCTAACTTGTTCCTGCAGATGTATAGGGAAGCTGTTAATTTTTGGTGATCTTGTATCTAGCCAATTTAAAAAATATCCTTGTTAGTTTTAATAATTTTTCAGTTCATGTGTTTCCTAAGTAGCCAAACATGTTGCAGACAGTAACAGGTTTTGTTGGGGGTTTTTTCCTATCCAATATGGAAAACTCTTACTTCTCTTCATTTCTATTACCTGGGGAGGAAGACTCAGAAGACCATGAAACTGTAAAGGTGATCGTGGAGACCCTTGTCTTGTTTCAAACTCCTTCTCTGGGAACACTTCTAATGTCTCCCTATGAACTGCAATGTTTGCTGTAAATTTCAAATAAACACTTTCATCAACTTAAAGCAGTTTAATTCTACTCCTAGCTTACCAAGCGTTTTCTTCTTGCTCTTTTGTTTCTTGAAGAACAATGTTGAATTATCCAGTACCATTTTTGGCTTTTCAGGAGATCATGAGAAGCTGTTCCTTCTTTAACCTGTTAGTGTGATGAATCACATTAACAGATTTACTGACACTGAACTACCCTTATACGCTCAGCATAAATCCTGGTGCATCATGATATCTTAATGCACTGTTGGAGACAAGTGAGTCATTATTTAGGATATTTATGTCTATGTTCAAACTGAGGTAAGTCTGTAAGTTTTTCAGTGCTGTCTTTGGCTGATTTGAAGAATTGGAGAGTTTTCCATGTTTTTCTACACTCTGTAATAGTTCTTATAACAGGAGGACTGTATGTTGAATAAAGGTTTAATAGACTTCACTTGTAATCCCCAGCATTTAGTACCACAGTAGGGGCAGATCTTTGAATACTTTCCATTTCCTCTATAGCTATTGATCTATTCAGATTTTTAAATCTATTTTAATGTAAATGTTGATTAAATTATATTTTTATAGAAAGTCATACATTTATCTAGATTTACAAACTTACTGACAAGAAGTTGTACATATTATCTTACAAAAATTTTACAACATTCGTATGTATAGTTCTAACCATTTTTGTTTCTAATGTCTTTTTTTGCCACGTGTCTATTTTATCAATCATTTCAAAGAATCTATTTTTGTGTATTATTGATCAAGTCTGCTTTTTCAAATCTTTTATTTCAAGTTTTCACTTTACTAATTCTGTCCTATTTTCCTCGGGTTTATTTTGATGCTTTTATCTTGCTTCTTGAGAAAACTTAGTTCATTTATTTGTATTCTTTTTTCCTAATATATACATTTAAGGCTATATATAACTGTAGAGGCCAAAGATTGAAGCAGGGAGCCCAAGCTGATAGCAGTGGAAGTTCAGAGATAGAGTCAGATTCTGGATATATTCTGAAAGTAGAACCATCAAGATTCTGCTGAGTGTGGGAGAAAATGGAAGGTCAAGAATAATATCAAGTTGTTTAGTCTGATCAGGAGAGGAAGGTTTGGGGGGTAGCGAGGAGGGCAGTTAGAATTCAGTATTGAACATGTAAAGTTTGAGATGTCTATCATACATTCAAGCGGAGATGCTGAGTAGACAATTGGGTATGTAAGCCTGGAATTTAGTTAGGGAAGAGGTCAGGTCTTGAGATACAAATTTAGGAGTTATCCATACATAGAAAAAACAAAATGAAACAAAACAGAAGATTGCATGAAATCACCAAGCAAATGAATGTAAATAGGAAAATGAAGACCAAGGACTCGCTGCAGGGTACTCAGCATTAAGAGCTCATGGAAAAACTAAATACCCAGCAATGGACACTGGGAGTAAGGCAGAAAAATCTCAAGATACTCTAATTTCCTAGAAGTCAAATCAAGGAAGTGTCTCAAGGAGGTAGGAGTGACTTATTATCTCAAATGTTGCAGAAAGTCCAAGAAGAATGAGGGCTGAGAATTGATCATAGGATTTAGAAGCGTGATCATTGATGCTCTTGACCAAAGCAGTTGCAATGGAGAGGTGATAAAGAAAGCTTCAGTTTCAAAGGAGTAGGGGCATTGGTGACAACAAGTATAGGCAACACTCTTGGGGAATATTTCTGTTAAGGGGAGAAGAGAAATGGAGTAGTAAAGCTGTGGGGAAAAGTGAAGTCAGAGGAAGATTTTCATTTGTTTTCAGGATGGAAGAAATATTCTTTATATGGTGATGGGAATGGTTCAGTATATAGGCAAAAACTGATGAGATAAGAGCAAAAGGGAGGAATTACCAGTGTGATATCCACGAGCATGAAAGAGGTGACTGAATATGGGGGACTGGCTTTAAATAGGAACACAGACAATTCAACTGTAATATCAGGAAAGACAACAGAGAATACGGGAATAGCTGGGAGATAGGTAGATAGAGGTGAGAGTCTGTAAGTCCTCATCTAATGGCTTCAATTATCTCCATGATGTAGGAAGTCAAATGTAATCTCAGTACTTAGGCTTGTATCCATTCTGTAGCAACTGACATTGTTCGCTACTTTCTCTTTTAATAGTCCCTCAAATTTTTGCTTCTGCAACACAGCAAGTTCCTGACATCTCTCTTCTCCAATTCCTTTGAAGTCTTCTTTATCTTCCTACTCCTTAAATGCTGACACACAAGATCTTGTCTTCAACTCTCTTCTCCCTATTTATCACTCACCCCTTCAGTGATTGTGGACATTACTAGTGTTCACTCCATCTTGTTCTCATCTTTTCTGGGCACCCAAACTGTACTTTCCAGGCCCCTTTCAGTGGGCAAGGCGATGTGACTACTTCTGGCCAATGGGCTGTGAGCATGAGTGACACTTCCAGCATGAAGCATTTAATTAACAGGGTACAACCCTCCACTTTCTTTGTTCCCCTTGCAGTCATGATTGATAAGTTTTCATGTTCCGGTGGTACAACTACAAGATGACAGAGGTTCTGAAAGCCGGGAATTATGAGTTGCCACATGAAAGACACTGGCCTGGAGAGTCACCCAACACAAAAAATCTTGGCTGATGAAAACTTTCCTTGTGCTCAGGCACTATGATTTGGGGGTTATCCCACCATAACTAGCCTAGTTGAACGGCACAGTGATCTAATTGAGTGGTTCTCAAAACATTGAGGCTTAAGACTCCTTTAACTCGTAAAAATTATTGAGGACCCTAAAGATCTTTTGTTTATGAGGGTCCTTCCTATCTATACTTACCTGTTTTGAAATTATAATTGAGAAATTTAAAATATTTACTTGCTAATGCTTTTAAAAATAATAAATCCATTATACATAAACACAAATAATAGATTTTATGGAAAATAATATTTTAATTTAGTGAAATGAGTGGCATTGTTTCACATTTTTGTAATCTCTCATTTTGTAAATCTCTTTAATGCCTGTCTTAATAAAAGACAGATTCTCATGTTTGCTCTCGTTTGTTGTTTTGCTCAAAGTATACAGAGAAAATTAGGCCTTATACAGATATATACTTAGAAAAGGAAGTATTTTAATAGCCTTTTCAGATAATTGTGAATATTATTTTCAAAATGTCACCCAAAACAGACAGATAGCAGCTTCTGAGATGTTAGGTGCAATGTGTAACCTGAAATCATATTAATGAACTTTACAGACTCTGTTACACTAAGTTTCATTGGTCTATCTTATGCCTTGAATGTATCTTTTATCCATGCCTGATTTTATAACATACATTGGTCATTTGTAAAATAATGGCTTGCTCAGTTTTGTAGATCTCCTAAATGTGGACACATTTCATTGTATTATGTCACCGTCAGTATCATCAGAAGAGTTTTAAAAGCTCTGGGAAGCTATCAAGCTCACAGCAACATACACAAGTTTTCTAAAATTCTAATTTTTTCTTTGAAAGCTCAATTTTTACAATTACAACATATACTGTTGGTTGCTTTCCTTGAAAAAATAGGCTAGGTTCATTTTTGAGGAACTGTCTGCCACATACTCAAATTTGAATAACCACAGTATGTCTGCCAGTCACTCTTGAAGATAAAAATTGTATCCCATGAAAAAAATTTGCTAGTTCAGATTGTAACTCAAATCAGACAAGGGCTCTTCCTCAAGAATGAGACTGTATTTCAATATGCAGCAAGACAGGACATTTAAATCATACTCCAGCATTCCTTTCTTGGACTATTTCATTTCTACCCATTATGCTATTTGCATACTTGCCTCACTGCCTTTGTGAGTTCTCTGACTGTAGACCCCATGTCCTTTTCTTCCTTGTATTCGCCACAGTGTTCGGTAGTCACCGTTACTGAATGAATAAATATCCTATCTTCCCCAATAGACTGTAAGGACATTGAAAACAGAAACTCTGTGTTATTCTTCTTTGAATCACCAGCACCTAAGACAGGGTCTTGGGCACAACAGAGTACAACTGTGGTTGTTTACGATAATCAAGTTTATTATGTATATTATATCAAGATGGCCGGTAACAATCTCAGCAATAATTACTCTTTATCATTTTTCTTTCAATACCTACTGTAGAGGAGCAGCTTCATAAGTTAGGTTTGCAGATTGGCAGGAAGAAACCAAACACACATACACACACATGAAAGAGAAATTAATTGGAACAAGGTGGTCACACAGAGCAGGATTGGATATAGCATGCTGGCGTGTGGTTTCCGCCTCCATGGGGTGTGTTGGTGACACTGAACTCTGCATAGATAAATCAGAAGAAAGTCACTATCCATTTATTGTCAGCTTTATATCGCCGTTCTGGAAAAATTATGCTCACAATCTATTTGCTTTCATTACAATGAATGTTTACAACCACTAGGATCGTCTAGTTCTAGAAACCAACAGTATCAACAAAGCCATCCTCAACCTGGGAGAAAAGCAGAATCAGCGCCCATGTGTCACTGAAAAATCTTCATCTCTCCAGCTTCCCAAGGTCCCAGAAAACCCACCTCCCTTCAAGAAGTCAACAAAAAATATCTGCTTTTAGAATTAAACATGCAGGTGAGAAATGTATATGTGATCATTTTTAGCTTGAAGGAGGAGGCTGGGATATAGTTTAAATTCCATGAACACCACGATAGGGAGAGTTGGCTCTTTTCCACGTTCAGGACAGCAATTAATTAAAGAATCAAGTTTTTGTTAATATTGCTTTTGAGCCCACAAATGTCATCAGTTTTCCCTCTATTTTGAGAATCACAGACTTAAATATAGTCCAATTACAAGTGGCAAATTTTTCTTACACTTTAGTCAATTGAGTTACATATTTATACATTTGTTATACTCAAAAGTGTCTTCAGGATGATTTTGAAAGGCACATCAAACTATCCTTAAAAAACAGCTACCAGGAGTTATCATATTACTCTACTTCCAGGAAGAATATATTCTGATATTGAATGCTTTTTTTTCTTTCTAAAAGACGAGTGTCACCTCTTGCATTCTTTTTTTTATAATACCCTTATTGAGATATATAATTCATATGCCATAAAATTCCCCCTTAGAAAGTGTATAATTCAGTGGGTTTTAGTACATTTACAGAATTTTGCATCATCACCACTAATTTTAGGATATTTTTATCAATTCATAAAGAAAGTCTTCTATGCATTAGGAGTCACGTCCTAGCCCCCTCCCTCCTCTAGACCCTGGCAACCACTGATCTACTTTCTGTCTCTATGGATTTGCCTATTTTGGATATTTCATATAAAAGAGTTTATACAATCTGTGGCCCTTTGTATCTGTCTTCTTTCACTTACCATAAGGTTTCCAAGGTTTATCCATGCTGTAGCATGTTTCAATCCTTCAGTTCTTTTTTATGGCCAAAAAATATTTGGTTGTAGAGGAAGACCACATTTTGTTTATCCATTCATCAGCTAATGGATATTTAGGTGTCTCCACTTTTTGACTATTACGAATAATGCGTCTATGGACATTGTGTACAAGTTTTTACGTGGACCCGTTTTTAATTCCTTTGGGATAGATCTGTAAGTGGATCAAGAAACACTTTAAGGATTAAGTTAGTGCAAAATGAGAATAAGTTCAAAGAATTTTTTTCACAGGTTTTTCAAGCCCCCAAGACTAAAGGGACATTAGGAAAGAACATTAGTTCCTAAATAACAACAGAGAGAAAATCAGAATAATAGACAATAGAGAAATACTTACCTTTTCCTTGCTGTAATTTAAGTAAATTTTAATATTATACAATTTCTTGAAAACAAATTTAAAGACACTAAGAAAACAATTATAAATCTGTCTTGCTCTTTCTAGATAAACATTTTTAGGTTCTTTTGGAATAGAAAATATTAGTGTTTAACAAGAAAACTTTTGGTTTATGATTTATGATTTCAATACTGTATCTACTGCGTTGTGTACATACCCAAATTAAAGATTCTAAACTATATTTCAAAGATTCTAAGTCATCTAAAATGAAGAGTATTACAGAGCCTAAAGTAGTTTAACAACAGAGATACAGGGAGTTCCCTGGTGGCACAATGGTTGGGAATCCTTCTGCCAGCGTGGGGGACGTGGGTTTGATCCCTGGTCCGGGAAGATCCCACATGCCACAGAGCAACTGGGCCCGTGCGCCACAACTACTGAGCCTGCTCTCTAGAGCCCGCATGCCACAACTACTGAAGCCTGCACACCTAGAGCCTGTGCTCTGCAACAAGAGAAGCCACCTCAATAAGAAGCCTGTGCACCGCAACAGAGTAGCCCCCGCTCGCCACATCTAACGCAGCCAAAATAAATTAATTAAAAAAAAAAAAGATACACTACATAAAATTGGAGAAGAAGGAGTTTCTTCTTGAAATAAAAGGCCAGCATCTTGAATGCTGGCAGACAACTTGCTACTTTCATCTGAGGATAAAAGAACAAATATCGTTTGAGAAAATTATGGTTAAAAATACTGTCTTTATTCTTAATATAAGGACAGCACATTGAGAGCTAAAATAATCAGGCAGGGCTTCAGTTTGTAAAAGAAATGGTCAAATTCTTTGAGTTTTCCTAAATACTTTTAAACTCAGACATACAGTAAATTACAGAGTTGGGACACAAAATAACAACCCCAACATGGTGGACATTTCTCTTCTACAGTCTAGTTGAATCTATTTGCAGTATCCATTTGGTACTGATTTCCCTGTTTCAAAGAATAAAAGTGGTAAATGAAATTGCAAAGCTCACATCTAGGGTTCTAGAAAAAATAACAGCCATTATATGATGGCTGTTATTTTTTAAAGCCTGGTTCTGCTTGAAGAATTACTTTAATAGGAATGAAAGAAGCATGCTTTCCCACTAATTATGCAATCTGCCTGGTTATACTGGCATGAGTATTCTATATAAAGACAGAATCTTTGGAAAAAAGAAAAGAGACCAATGTTTTGTGCAACCTATGGCTTTTAGTTTTATTATAAACACACAAAGTACATGAAAAATATCAATTATTTCTTTTTAACTCTCTGTCTGCTTATTATTTCCAGATGCTTTAAATAGGACAGAAAAAGCAAAGCAACAAAACAAATTCCATCCACTACACTGAAGGTTGACATTTCAGTGTTTCACTTGTAAAGAGTCAACAGTAAAGTCATAACTATAAAAAGAAGGAAAACAATTATCACTTAAGTGCTTCCGTGGTTCCTGAATTATTTTTCCACAAAGAAATGGTAAATATGAGCCATATATTACTGCAGAGAAGAGTTACTTTTTTCTTTTCATAAACTTTTTCGCTTCTTTCAAAAGCCCTTCCACATCTTCCTTTTCTAAGTCTTCCTTTCCTGGTTCCCAGTCGGAATCTTCATCTGTTGGCTCATATTCTTCTCCCTCATCATCTATAACGCTGTCATGCAGGTTGTGCTCACTGGGTTGGCCAACACTGTCATCTTCATCTGAAATGTTTCTCACTGAAAAACAGTTTAGTACATGACACAACAACTGCCACTCAACCTGGGATTAGAAACATCTAACTGTAAAATATCCTTTTCTGCCAAGAAGAATTAATTTTACTTAATACAAAGCTAACTACTACAAATTTCTAGAAAGGGGGCTAAAGCTCTCATTTGTTATAATTCTAACTTTTTTTTTAACATCTGCTTGATTCTCACTTTTCCTACCATGAGGCCCCCAAGACTAAAATGTCCTCTGAGATTCATAATGGTTCCTTAATAATATCATAATCATATTCATGCTACCCTACCTTCCACTGTGGTAGAATGTATTTTTGTCCCAGTTATTCACTGTCGCTCCCTGTGATGTGATTCTATATACCCACCCCCACTGACATCAGACTTGGCCAAAGAAAAGTGAGTGGAAGTAACAGCTTCCATGGAGAAGCCTTAAGGGCCTTTCTGTGGTTCTGCTATTGCCATTCCCCCTCTGCTAGGAGAACAGTGTGTCCCAGATAGAGGCTGATCCTTCAGCCTGGAGTTAGGACGAGAACACACATGAGACAGAGCCACAGCCAACATGCAGCTACATGCATGTAACATGAAGGAGAAATACACCTATTTATCGTTGTAAGGCACTAAAATTTGAGGACTGTTTGTTATCGCTGCAAACCTAGCACAATCTGATTGACACACCAGGGTTGTGACCAAATGAGGAAATATAAGCTTACAAACTTTGGAAAATTTAGCTCATGCTTCAATAAGACTAGGATTACTATGGTAACAGCCATTAGACTTTACAGATTTCTAAATAACACTATAATAGTAGAATTACAATTCTAGAATTCTTTTGTCTCAAAACTCATTTCTTCCCTCATCCCACTCTGTTTTATTTTCTTTCCACAGTGAGCAACAGAGTTGGTTTAAAATAAGGCAGTGAGAGACTCTAGGATGATGTAGAGCATTTAAGAAACAGGTAGGAAGATTCTATCTGGAAATCTTCTGAATGGCAGACAATCCCTGTGATGTAGAGCAAATGTATAGGTTAAAAATGTTTGTACTTTTGTATATGCTTTAGCTAACTTCTTCCTAAAATGTTCATATATAATAGATATAATGTAAATGAAAGTTAAGAAATTTGATGGGGAAAAAATTTGATGGGAGAAATGATGACAAAGGAAGTAATTTATCTGTCTTCTTAACTTTCATAGCCCAGACAATTATATTTTTCTTAATAATCACTACTCATTCCAAGAGGATTTGAGATAGCTTATAACAGTAATAATGAGACAATAAAAATACAAATAAAAGTAGAAACTAAGAACAAAGAAAGCAGAATATAAGTATGTCAACCTCAATTTTTAACATAATTCATATAAATTGAGCATCAAATTTCTCCCCGAGTTTCTTGGTAGCCAAGGCTAAAAAGGCTACAGAATAATTCGCACAATTCTCATTAGCATAAGCAGCACACCAGTTCCTTAAGGGAAGTCTGGCATTATATTTATTTTTGTACACTTCTTATCTCCTGTAAGCATCCTGAGGGCATGTTTTATGTCTAACTAATCTCGACTCCCCATATAACTTTTATGATAGAATACAATTAAAAAAACATTTAGAGGGTAGTCTGCAGATGGGGAAGGGAGTTAGGAGGGAAGAACAGCAGTATTTCTGTTCTTGTCCATTTTACTCTTGGAAGTATGTCGTATATATAACTAATGACATCTCAATAAAGAGCTTCCTTTCAAATTCTGAAATTATCTTAGCAGATTTATAAGAAAAATATATATAAAGCTGAAACAACGTCAGGTTCTCCTACTTTATTGGCTGTTCCTTCTCCATTTCCTTTGCTGTATCCTCCTCATCTTTCCAACCACTAAATTTTGGAGTGCCCAAATTTCAGGTTGGGATCTCTTCTCTAACATACTCCTTAGATGATTTCACCTAGTTATATATCCTACATTCCTGAATTTGTTATACCTTAAGCTCTGACCATTGCCTAAATTCCAGACTCATTTATCTCACTGCCTATGTATTATCTCTACTTGGTGACTAACAGAAATCTGAAACCCAACATTTCCAGAACAAAACTCTTGAGGTACTTCACCCAAATCTGGTCATTCTCTTATCAATCCTGAATGTATGACTCCTCCAACTTTCTAACCTTCCAGCTGCTTTGGCAAGAAACCTTGGAGTCACCCTTGAATATCCTCTGTAATATTTAATATGTCAAAAGATCCTACTGGCTGTACTGTCAAAATACATCCACCACTTCTCACATCACTCCAATACCCTGGTCCCTATACCACCATTTTCTTCCTGGTCTAATCCAATATCCTCCTAACTGGGTTCCCTACTTCCACTCTTATCTGTTCTCCACAAAGAAGCCAGAAAACCTTCCTATAGCTTTTTATCTCACTCTAAATAAGATCTGAAGTCCTCATTTGTAGCTCTTGGCCTCCAAGACCCTACAAAACTGGCTCACTTCTGGCTTTTCTGATCTCATCTACCATTCTTCACTTACACTTCATTCCAATCCTACCCTCTCTTCGTTGCTCCTTGAATAGTCCAAGCAGGATCATCTCCAGGGCTTTTGAAGCACCATTCCCATTGCCTGGCATACTCCTCCCACAGAGAATCACCTGCTTGCTCTCTCCTTCAGCCCTCTGCTCTGATGTCAAATTAACAGAGTCTTTCTTTTACTGTTCTATCTGAAATGGGACCTGCCCCCCACCCCCATGCACACCCTTGCCACTCTGTCCTCTTACAAAGCTTTATTTTTCTTCTTAGCAATTATCACTACATGACATCATATAATTGTTAACATGTGCACTGTCCACTTTTGTGAAATACTACAAAAGCAAGGCTTCATCTCTATTGTATCCTCAGCTCCTACAACAGTGCCTAGCACGTATAAGGTACTTTATATACATATATTTGTTAAATATATGAATGAACAAATGAACCATTTGTGAATCAACTGCTGAACACCTTTAGTTTACAGAAACCCTTCTTATTTCAATCTACACTTTTAATCACGAGCCTGCCTGTTAACACAATGTATTGCATTAAAGACTTTTATTTAAACCCTGCTAATCGAAGGAG